GCTATTATAAACTTTTTTAAATAAAAAAATAATAATAAATATATAAGCTTAATTCCTGCAAGCCTTTATAAACTTATATTATTTAAAAATTTAGTATTTTACTACTTTATTACTAAACTATTATTAATTTATTATTATATAAATATACATGGCTTAAATAGTTATAATAAAAAAAATAATTAGGTATTTAATTTTAATTTACTTTATTTTTATATAAGATTATTTAAATATTTTTATAATACCCCTAAAATTAATAACTTTAATAAGTACTTTTTATACTTTTTTTTAAATTATCTTGCTAATTATTATATTTCTTTAAAATAAAATAAGAAAGTTTTACTTAATTTAAATAAGCATGCTTAATAAATTTTATATTTATTATATTTACTTTTACTTTAATATTTAAATTTACTTTAATTTTAATTTTATCCCGCGGAGCTTTTATTATTATTTTTATTTAAAAATATTTACTTATTTTTATTTTTAAATATTAAGCTAGGGTATAAAACTTTACTTTAGCTTTTTTTTATTTTTTTTATATATATTTTACTTTTATTTTAATTTATATACTTACCTTCTTATTAATTATCTTACTTTTTTTATAATATTTTTTATTTTAAGGGTTTTTAACTACTACCTTGTAAACTTTTATAATTTAATTAAAATTTATTAGCTAAAAGTTAGGGTTTTATAATAATTTTATATAATTAAGTATAATATAACTAGGTTTTCCGCACTTAAAATATATTATAAAAGTTAATTTTAACTAATTTTAATTTAGTATTATTTTAATATAGCTTTAAAAAAGTTTTATTATACTAAAAGTTTATTTTACAAGTATTTTTTATAACTTTTTTTAAAAGTTTATCCTGCAAGATAATTTCTTTTTTAAATTTTTTTATTATAAGTAAATTTATATTAATTTTTTTTTAAATTAATGATATTTTTTTTCTTATTTTATAGGTTTTAATTATTTATTATAATATAAGGTAATGCAAGGTTATAAATATAATATATAAAATTAATATTATAAAGTAAGTTAAACTAAATATTTTTTAATATTTAAAAGTTTTATATTATTAAGATTATAAATTTTATTTTAAAATAAAGGTAAAAGCTTGCTAAAATAATATTAAATTTATATTTTTTTATTATTTTTAAAAAAAATATTATTTTAAAGTAATTAAATAATTAGTAAAATCCCTAGAATTTTAGTTTTTTTAATAAGCTAACTTTAGTTTAACTATAATATTTAGTAAACTAGTTATTAAACTTTTTAAAATTATAGCTGTTTATTTTTTAAAATATTTTTAAAAAAATTCTTAATATTTTTTATTTATACCCTTTAATTTATTAGCATATTAAATTTAGTTACTTTTATATATTAATTTTATTATAGTTAAAGCTTTTAGAATTTATTATTAATTTAATTTATATTTTTTAAGTGCTTTTTTAAAGTTTAATTTTAAAATACTAAGCTAGTTAAAATATTACTATAAATTAAAATTAAAATTATACTTAAATATATTTTTATTTTTAATTTTATTATAATTTTTTAGTAAATTATTTTAATATTAATATTATTTTAAAGGTGTATTATATTTAGCTAATTAATTTTTTAAATATTTAATATATTTTTTTTATATTTTATAATTATTAGGTTACTAGTGTTTTGCAAGTATTTTAATAATTTTTTATAATAATATTTTTAATAATTTTAATAATAAAAAATTATTAAATATTAAAGGGTTTTTTTCTAGGACTATTAAAATAATCTTATTTAAAAATAAAATATAAGTATACTAGTAGTATAATACATGTTTTATAAGTAATTAATAAGTTAAAAAGTTAAAATTATAAAAACCTTAAGTAGGCTAATTAGGTATAAAATAAAATATTAAAAAGGCTATTTAATAAGGGATTAATATTAAATTTTAAGGCCTAAAATATATAAAAACTAATTTTTAGCTAATTATTTTTTACTAGGGTGTTAGCCTTAAATATATTATTAAAATAGTAGTAATATTACTACTATATAATAGGTTAATATTACCATAACTCTTATCTTATTGGCTTCCTTATCTTATCGGGGCTTGGCATCCGTGGGTGTGACACCTCCATAAATTACTACTACTTGTCACTTCGCTGAGCCTTTGGCAGACCCACTAGGCCGCCCCGGGGCCTAGTGGGTCAGCCACATAGTAATAATAACCTTAAATTAATAATAATTTTAATTAATATAAAGCTATTTAAATTACTATATTTTTACTAAATAATAAGCTTTTAGTATTTTAAGTATATAAAAATAAAGCTAAGCTAATAGCTAATTTATAGTTATAATATTAAATTATTAACTTTAAAACTGCGCGAATAATCGCGCCCTAAATTTTTTATAAAAATTTATTATTAAGGGCTACTTAATAACTTTAAAAAGTAATAACTTAATACTAAGGTAAAATATAAAGCTTTATAAAGTGCCTTTATAATTAATAATAAATAGTAATTTATTTAGGTCCTTTTTTAACTTTTTTAAAAATAATTTAACTATAATAACTAGCTTTGTAATTATTTAAAAACTTTTTTTTAATATTTTTATATAATCCTAATTATTTTTTTTAAATATTATATTAATTTTTTTAACTCTTTTTTTATTACATTTTTTTTTAAGATTTTAATAGTATAGGAGGCCTTGGTGGCCTTTTTTAACCTATTATTTTATTTAAGGTTTATAGCGCTTTTTAAAGTATTTTTTAAGGTAATTATTTAGCTTAATAATCTTAAAAATAAGATTTACTACCTGGTATTACGCGCCCTTAAAAATAGCCTTTATATTTAAAAAAAGCTTTAAATAGCGCTTATTTATATTAGCTATTATTTAGCTAGTTATATAAGCTATATATAAAGTTATTAATAGCTTTTTTAAAAAAGTTTTTAGTATTAAGTTTTTAGTATCTAGCTTTTTACTAAATATTAATTCTTAATTTTTTTAAACCTTTGCGGGGTTTTTAATAACTTTATTTTTATTAAATATTTTTAAAGGGGTTTTTAGGTTTTTATAGGCCCTAATTACCTTTATTATTTTATTTATATTAATATTTTTTTTTTAAGGCTGGTTTTCTTTTATCCCTTTATAATTATTTTAAAGGTAAAAGTTTTGGCTTAAACAAAGGTAATATTATTTAAAAAATAGACTTAATTATAATTATATTTACTTATTTAAAAAAGCTTGTTAACTATATTTGTATGGTTTTTTTTTAGCTATATAAAAGGGATTAAATTAAGCGGTTAAAAAATATAAGTTAAATAAGGTAATATTAAAAGTAATAAGATTTACTACCTTTTTATAAATTAAGTAAATTTAATAGTTATATAGCTTATATATTAATTAAAAAAAAAAGGCATTAGGTTTCTTTTTATTAAATAATAAAGTAAAGGTTAAAATAACAAAGCTAAAAATAGGCTAATTTTTTATTAATATAGCTTATTTTATTAATTTTAATTATAAAGGTGTTGTACCCCCTAAAAATATTTATTTTATTAAACTAATCCCTTATTTTTATCTTTTTAGGGAGTATTAAAAGCGGAGGGAGAATAAAGCTATTTTTAGATATATACTTAATAAAGGTAACTAAAACTTAGAATAATATAAAGTTAATAAAGGAAGTAAAGTAAAAATAACATATATAAATAATTTTTACACGCCTTTTTTACCCTATTCTAAAGCTAGTTTTATTTATATTATAAATATTTATATTTTAAATTTTCTTGGCCTTAATAAGGTTTTTATAATACCTTATTTATTATATAATATTTTTAGCGCGCTCCGCCTTAGCTTTTTATTAATTTTTTAAAAATTTATTTAATATAAAAAACTTTAAATATTTTTTTATAAAGCGTAGCACCTATATCTTACTAACTAGTAGTAGTAAAGGGCCCTTTTTAATATAACTTATTTAAAAAATAATATTAACTGCATGTTTAATTTATATAGGGTTTAACAAGGCATGTAATTTATTATACTAAGTAACATAGGTTAATAAAACCTTTTTTTACGCGTTAGTAAGGTATTTTTTAAATTTTTAACATGTTATATAAGGCCTAGTTCCCTTTATTTATTTTTATAAGTATTAATAATTAACCTAAAATTTATTTATAATTTTTTATATATTTAGCTTAGGTTTAAAAAACTTTATAAAGTAGTAAAAAGAAAGTGCTTCCTGTAGTTTTAATTTATTCTTACTAAAATATATTATAATAAAAATTAATAAAGTTATAATTATTTAAAAATAGTATATATAATTAAAATTTATAATTATTATTACTTTAAGGTTATTATTACTATGTGGCTGACCCACTAGGCCCGGAGCGGCCTAGTGGGTTTGGCCGAAGGCTTAGCGGTGTGACAAGTAAGCCCCAACCATAATGCAGACGTTGATTCAGTACAACTTACAAGTTCAAATTATGACAAATTATAGGGAGTAAACAGTGTTTCAATCACTTCGTCACGCCTGCGTGCCGAATAGGAAACTTGTACGCTCGATTATTGACCAGTATGACCGGTAGACCAGACATCAAACAGTAAGAAAAAAGAAAGAGAATATGTACAGGGATGACAGTCGTCTCAAAAGAAGCAATGAAGAAAAAGAACAGGAAACGAGATGTTCGGGATGCGGTGAAAGATATACTCTTTAAGGAGATGTGTGAAAAGCAATTGGCGCATGAAGATGCAAAGGTGTAATGTAAGGAGAGAGAGGGAGGAAAAGATGATCATAACATCAACCCTGGTCCTGTCACGCTTGATAGCACAAACAAAGAACATAAAGAAAGTGGTGAAAGATGGTGAGGGGGCGGAAGTAGTTGGGTGGTTAGGGGTCGACAAGTCGAAGGTATTATACATAACATGGTAATGAGTTCTCCGAGACGACGTCAGGTAGTCTATCAAACATTATATTAGAGAGATGGCCAGTAGGTCGGTCAGGCTCGTTTCAGGAAGCGTGCAGCTAGCTTGGCGAGGGGCGATGGTCATCATCAGGAGTTTCCGAAGCATTCGATGACAGGACGATAGTCGGAGGATTCGAGGACGGCTCTTCTCCATTCGGAGGGCTGGAAAGAGCGAGGCTGTCTGGTTCCGCTGACTCGCCCACAGTCGAAGTCGGTTCGGTAACGGGGGATAGAGGCATAGTATCAGTACTATCCTTGCTTCCACTGGTGGCTCCGTTGCGCCTTCTTAACCGGCGCTTTCTTCGTTCCTCTTCCGCACTTTCTCTACGTCTCCGCGTGCGTTCCGGGTCAGGATTGTCTCTTAATCCTTGTAGCATGCTCGCTGCGCGGTCCGCGACGTCTTCGCTTTCTGAGACGTTTGGTGAGCCGATGTCCCCTTCAGATCCCTGGATAGGGGGACTTAAAAGACCGGAATCGGAAGCATTAGGGTCAGCGGTGCCGCTGTCCCCGTCTGCAGCAGTACCCGGGGCCTCGGCGCCTTCTAGATCTGGGATTTTCTGCCCAGAAGCAACGCGAACTTGGTGCCGCTCCTTTAATCTCGCACGGCGACGACGGTCACGCTGATCCTTGGCTTGAGGGGCGGCAGCACGTAGCTTTTCTAACAGCGAATCCATGGCTCCACTTGAGGCTGGGGAGACTGGAGCATCTCCTCCCGGCCCAACACCATTCGCGAGACCGGCATTGATCCGCTTGCGAGCCAGAGACGCTTCAGTACGTCGTTTAACTTCCTCCAGAGCGATGTTCTTCTCTTTGGATTTCTGTAATCACGGTTAGCAATGGGAAGTCAACAAAATCAGTTTTAGCATCATACCTTCCACTCTTGTAAGAATGTGGCCAACTTCGCAAAGAAGTCTCGTCGAGCGCCATCATCCGTATTGTCTTCACCATAGAAAACCATGATATCATCATAGGACTTGACCATTTCTCCGAGATATAGCTGCATCTGCTCCGCTTTCCGCCTGGCCTCTTTCATACTGCGCTGAGTGATTTGGCTGACACGGTCCTGAGGATGGAACTTCTTCGGGTCGCTAAGATTGCCTGCATCCAAGCTTGCCTGTACATTTTTGATATTGTCGATGTACTTCTTCGCATCGGTCCGCAACTGGTCAACATTGAGTTTCTGGAGGCCAATAACACCGCTGATTTGCTCGGTAAAGTCTTCCCATTCTGGGTATTGGTTTCGAACAATACGTTCAACGAGATCAGCAAACGTGGTCTCGTTCTTGTCGTCCTTGACCATTCCGAGACGAGCCAGGGAGCTCAGCTTGAAACCTTGGGCCTGCTTGTTGGCATCGTTCATGAAGTTACCGATATCCAGGATCAGGCCAAGCACATTCATTAGAGAGACAGAATCTCTTAACGATTCGCTCACTCGCACAACCTCTCTAAGCTTCGCAGAAATATGCTCATAGTCTGGTTCAAAGGAGCGAGTCAAGGCAAGCGCGCGCATTCTTGCCTTCCAATAGTGATTCAGTTCAAAGGCAGTGTAAAGGTAAATCTGATCCTCGCGAGTAAGTTCACCGGGATCCTGTTCTCGTTGAGAGCTGGCAGCATCAGGTCCAGTCCAATCTTTGCTGTACGGCGCCATGAGTTTCGACACGTTTTCCGGTATAGTGCACATTTCATCTCGCTGCAAGAATTCCATGACAACCATGTTGTCCAGGATTTCGGTGTCACAATGGATAATCCTTCGGACAACGTCATCAGCAGGAAACTGAGAGAACTTGGACAGGGCGATCTGGAAGTTCTTCGATAAGTCATTAGATATGATTTGCTTCTTGTCTTTGCGTTGCTTGGTTGCGCTGCCACCACCGAAAATCCTGGTCTCCTTTGCCATGAATAGCCGTTCCACTTCATCCAATACTCCCCTTTTGGCCAGCTCAACGTACTTCTCCTCTTTCTCCTGAGGAGTCGTGCCGTGAGTCGCCCAGACTGTAACTTGCGGCGTGTCGACTTTGTCCCAGTGAAGGGCCTTGAGCTTCTTCTTAGGTCTGATGGAGGACATGACAGGTATAGCGTGAGATGGAGCACCTTGGGAGGCCAAGTAATTTGCTCTCCAACCACCAATGACAGTGCCTGGTGGAGGGGGTGGAGGGGGTACGCCAAATGCACCACCAGGAGGCGGCGGCGGCGGTGGAGGACCGCCAAAGCCCCCTGGGGGAGGTGGAGGCGGAGGAGGGCCACCAAACCCTGGAGGTGGTGGAGGCGGGGGAG